GTCCGTGGGTTCAGGCCAATCTAGGATCGCTGAGACCTTCTGAGGGTCCATTGCGACCCCCGTGGTGGAGATAATCTGACCCAGGAATGTAACGCTAGTCTGTTCAAAGCAGCATTTCTCTGCTTTAGCGTACAACCCGTGCTGCCGCAACCGCCCCAACACCTTTGTTACATGTACCCTGTGCTCCCCCAGGGAGGATGAGAAAATCAAAATGTCGTCTAAGTAGACGATGACAAAGATGTCCAGGAAGTCCCTAAAGATGTCGTTTACAAAGTGCTGGAAGGTGGCTGGCGCATTGCATAACCCGAAAGGCATGACCAGGTATTCAAAATGGCCGAATCGGTTGCGGAAGGCCGTCTTCCACTCATCCCCCTCCCTTATGCGAACCAAATTGTAGGCTCCCCTTAAGTCTAACTTGGTGAATACTACCGCAGCCTTTAAGCTCTGGAACAATTCAGGTACCAGAGGTAATGGGTAACGATTTTTAATGGTGACCCTATTCAGCTCCCGATAGTCAATGCATGGCCTCAAAGTCTTGTCCTTCTTTTCTACAAAGAAGATCCCTGCACCTGCTGGGGAAGTGGAGGGACGGATGAATCCCTTACGGAGGCTATCCTCAATATAGTCCTTCAGGGCCCCTAATTCCAGCTCAGAAAGGGGAAAAATTCGTCCGAACGGGATTTCAGAACCGGGCAACAGATCAATCGGACAGTCATATGGGCGGTGGGGGGGGTAGAGCATCTGCTCCCCGTTCACTGAACACGTCAAGGAACTTGTGATAGGCTGCAGGAACCACTTGTTTCAGGCTGTCATCCCCTTCAGAGCACAGAAGAACCTGGGGGACCCCCGGGCCCGAAGTTCGACACAGTTCCCGACAATATGGGGAAGGGAACGAGACAACCCCAGTTTCCCAGTCAATTTGGGGGTTATGGGCCCGCAACCAAAGGAGCCCCAGAATGACTGGGAAAAGGGGTGATGCAATAGCATCCAGGCGGAGGAGTTCCCGGTGCTGACCGGCAATGGAAGTCATAATGGAAGGGGTCTCCTGGTTGACTACTCCTGACTTTATCCGGGAACCATCAGCTAAAAAGATATGAAACCCCTTCTCCTTTGGGCGGAGGGGAATACCCTGCTGGTGAGCAAAATTGATATCCACAAAACAGCTGCATGCCCCCGAATCAACTATGGCCGACACCTCCACGGTCCTTTCGGAAAGCTGAAAGGAGAGGGGAACAACTAAGTACTGGGACGGGGTCATATCGCCAACAGATAAAGAAGATGAAGTGAACTTACTCAGTTTCTGCGGGCAGGAACGCACCATGTGACCAGCTTCGCCGCAGTACAGGCACAGATTCTGGGAGCGTCTGCGCTGGTGTTCCTCAGGCGATAGTTTAGGCCGAGCCAGGCCTAGCTGCATGGGTTCGGGGGCATCTTCAGCCGGCAGGTTCTGGATGCTTGGCCTAGTATGTTGACCGGATCCCTGAAATGACCCCCAGGGATTTCCGCGACCCTGACCAGACCTCTCCAATCTGCGCTCCCGTAGCCTACGGTCAATTTTAATAGTGAGTGCAATCAAGTCCTCTAATATCTCGGGCACCTCTACCCGGGCGAGCTCGTCTTTCAGAGCCTCAGATAGGCCCATACGAAACTGGTGTAAAAGGGCGAACTCGTTCCAACGAGTGTCACCCATCCAGCGCCTAAAGTCAGAGGCGTATTCCTCAGCCGTCCGCCGACCTTGTCGGAGTGCGTATAACGTGGCCTCGGCCGAGGCCGCCCGTTGTGGGTCATCATATAAGATGGCCATAGCGGTTAAAGAAACTGTTGACCGAAACCAGGTGAGGGTCATTGTTTCCCCTTAGTCGGTGGGCCCAGTCTTGGGGTTCACCCTGCAGCAGGGAGACAACAAACCCCACTTTCACTGACTCTGTCAAAAAGGTCCGTGGCTGTAGTTCAAAAAAGAGCAGACAAGAGTCACGAAATGACCGAAAACGTGTGCGATCCCCATGGAAGCGCTCGGGTAAGGGTACTCGGGGTTCCGCCATAGGGAGTGATGTGGGAGGCCCAGGAGCCGGCTCGTGGGCTGCTGCGACTGGAGGTGCAGGAGCCGGGGCCTGTGAAACAGGAACAGATATGGTGCAGGCCTGAAACCGATTCTCGATCTGCAGACATCTGTCCTGTAATGTGTTTACAGCTTGCGTCAGGGTAGACAGGTGCCTGCACACCTCGTCCAACGGGGTGAGTCCTCCTCGAGGCTCAGTCATGGCCTTCTGGTACTGTGAGGGACCGCCGAGCGGCACCACTAGCACTCCACCGGTCAGGCGTGCCCAGAGCGCGGAATCTAAGCCCCAGGGTACTTGTTCACCAGGGCCCCTGATGGTGGGGATGGACTTGTAGTACCCTGAGACCAGGTCGCCTCTACTGAGCACACCTGTCAGTGGTAGGGGTGTCCGCCAGGGGTTCCAACCAGGGAGAGCCAAATGTGAGGAGGTCGGGTGACCCTGATGGGATGGATGGATGGATGACTGAGCAAGTGCGTAGTCAGACAGGCCGAGTCGGTAATGTAGAGGACGGTAAGGTACAAGGGAGCAGGCAGAGAATCGTCGGGTCACACGCCAGGTCAGCAACAGGAGGTCAGATCTACAGAGGGGCATCCAGGGAGAGAGGTCAGGCAAGCAAGGGTCTGGGCAGGAGAAATCAGCAAGGTCAAGAGCAATCCGGGTCAATAACTTACAGGATACAGGTTCACAGGATCAGGAATGCAGGTAAGACCAGAAGGCAACGAAATGACAGCTCAGGGACCTTTAAATATCCCGCCCTGCGCTGCCATTGGTGCCCAGCGGGCGGGCCGCGGCTTCTACTGCGCATGCGCGAACTCGAACGCTGCGGCCGGCCCGGACCTAGTGCCCGTGTACTGGGAGGAGCAGTGCGCCTGCGCCGGGACCATCGAGGGACGGATCGCGGGGATCCCTGACAGGCTCCTCTGTCCTGAACTTGTTATCAGTATAAAAGACACCTGTCCACAACCTCAAACAGTCACATTCCAAACTCCACTATGGTGAAGACCAAAGAGCTGTCGAAGGACACCAGAAACAAAATTGTAGACCTGCACCAGGCTGGGAAGACTGAATCTGCAATAGGCAAGCAGCTTGGTGTGAACAAATCAACTGTGGGAGCAATAATTAGAAAATGGAAGATATACAAGACCACTGATATTCTCCCTCGATCTGGGGCTCCACGCAAGATCTCACCCCGTGGGGTCAAAATGATCACAAGAACAGTGAGCAAAAATCCCAGGACCACACAGGGGGACCTAGTGAATGACCTGCAGAGAGCTGGGACCAACGTAACAAAGGCTACCATCAGTAACACACTACGCTGCCAGGAACTCAGATCCTGCAGTGCCAGACGTGTCCCCCTGCTTAAGCCAGTACATGTCCGGGCCCGTCTGAAGTTTGCTAGAGAGCATTTGGATGATCCAGAAGAAGATTGGGAGAATGTCATATGGTCAGATGAAACCAAAATAGAACTGTTTGGTAGAAACACAACTCGTCGTGTTTGGAGAAGAGAGAATGCTGAGTTGCATCCAAATAACATCATACCTACTGTGAAGCATGGGGGTGGCAACATCATGCTTTGAGGCTGTTTCTCCACAAAGGGACCAGGACGACTGATCCATGTATAGGACAGAATAAATGGGGCCATGTATCGTGAGATTTTGAGTGCAAACCTCCTTCCATCAGCAAGGGCATTGAAGATGAAACGTGGCTGGGTCTTCCAACATGACAATGATCCCAAACATACCGCCTGGGCAACGAAGGAGTGGCTTCGTAAGAAGCATTTCAAGGTCCTGGAGTGGCTTAGCCAGTCTCCAGATCTCAACCCCATAGAAAACCTTTGGAGGGAGTTGAAAGTCCGTGTTGCCCAGCAACAGCCCCAAAACATCACTGCTCTAGAGGAGATCTGTATGGAGGAATGGGCCAACATACCAGCAACAGAGTGCCAACCTTGTGAAGACTTACAGGAAACGTTTGACCTCTGTCATTGCCAACAAAGGATATATAACAAAGTATTGAGATGAACTTTTGATATTGACCAAATACTTATTTTCCACCATAATTTGCAAATAAATTCTTTCCAAATCAGCCAATGTGATTGTCTGGATTTTTTTTCTCATTTTGTCTCTCATAGTTGAGGTCTACCTATGATGCCAATTATAGGCCTCTCTCATCTTTTTAAGTGGGAGAACGTGCACAATTGGTGGCTGACTAAATACTTTTTTGCCCCACTGTATAAGCTGTGCTAGGGCTGTTTGTATGAGGTTTTATAGTAGAGTATGAATCATCATTTTTAGATACTTGTTAGATTGCCAGCTGATGTCTATGGTAATATAAACCTGGACATTAGCCATTAATTTTAAGGTCTTTTAAAAATATCTATTCGTAGTTACAAACTAGAGTATAAGTGGTGAGTTTAGTCTTGTTATAAACCCATAATTTGTTTAGAAATATATGCAATTGAGGACTTGGATTGGAGACAGTCAATGACAAAAAAGTGCATCCTTTAAAATATTTTAAGAATTAAATGACCTTCTAGTCTCAGTGTGTGTGTGTGTGTTTGTGTGTGTAATGTACAGAAGAATAATACTTACCTTATTCCTTGATGCCCTGACAGCCAGCACTTTTTCACTGCTCAGCTCCAAACCCACAATGTAGTTGGGTTGCTGAAGTCCTTACATACAATGCCGGACCACATGCCTTGCAAGGGAAGGGATTAAGGAACACACACACACACACACACACATTATAAAAATATTTAACCCTTACTATATGAGGCTGACAGAATTCAGAATTAGAGTTATAAAGATACAAACAGGCTCAGTATGCTCACTCCACTCTACAGTATATCTAAACCTTTTCTTTTTATTAATATTAGTTTTGTTACTACTAATACTACTGAAGACTTATTTATAGATTATATTGTTTCAGGTTTTTAAATTCTCAATGGATACTCTGAATCTGACTACATTTGATGACTTTATCTTAGTAGGACTGACTGAGGATAATGTTTTCCAATCTATACTGTTTGTTTTATTTTTAATCATTTATACATGCTCTTTCTTAAGTAACCTGGGCATGATAATATTAATAAGTGCCTACCATTATCTTCAAGCACCCATGTATTTTTTCCTGAGTCATTTGTCTCTTATTGACTTGAGTTATTCCTCCACAATTACCCCCAAGATGCTGTCAGATTTGATCTCAGATAAAAAGTTCATCTCCTTTGAAGCATGTGCCAGTCAAATGTTTCTGTTTGCCATGTTTGCCACATCAGAAAGCTTTTTGGTAACTGTCATGGCATATGATCGTTATGTTGCCATATGTCAACCACTGGTCTACCACAGCACGATGAATAAACTTACATGTTGGGGATTGGTATATGGAGTCTATTTAGTCAGCTTTTTAGCTTCCATAACTCATACAATTACCATTTTCATATTCCCTTTGTGTGGTTCTAATAAAATCAATCATTTTTACTGTGATATACCTCCACTTTTGAAACTTACATGTGTTTATTCTTATGCTAGGAAGTTGGTTGTCTTTTGCTATCATTTGTAATGGGGGTTGCTACTTTTCTTTGTGATATTGATGTCCTATATCTCCATCATTTGTACAATTGTAGGAATCAGTTCAAAAGAAGGAAGATCCAAGGCCTTCTCTACTTGTGCCTCCCATCTTACTGTAGTCATCTCATTCTATAGCACAGTGTTTGGAATCTACTTTCGACCAAGCTTGGGTTTAAGTTCAGAAAGCATTGACAAGGTCTTCTCCATCTTTTATACTGTGGCATCCCCTCTGTTGAATCCTCTCATATATAGTTTTAAAAATGCAGAAGTTAAGAGCGCAATAATGAAAGCACTCCCTTTAAGGAAAGCATAAGTGCACCTAATAACTAATCAATAGATTTTCAAAATGGGTCCTGGACAGCAGCTATATATCTCTACTATTTGGGTTGTGGTCCCTTAACCACTTGACCCCCGAGCCAATTCTGACATTTCTCACATACATGTGAGTATCAGCATTTTTTTGCTAGAACATTAATTAGAACCTCCAAAATATTTTGGAAAGCAGAGACCTTGGAGATTAAAATAGTGTTTTTTTCAATTTTCTTTATGTCACATGATATTTATGCAGCCATTTTTAGAACACAAATGTTTAGGAAAAAATACACTTTAATTAATTTTGAAGCACACAAACAGATAATACAAAATTTTTGGTCAAATATAAAAGATGATATCACACCAAGCAAACAGATACCTAACATGTCAAGCTTTAAAATTGCGAACACCGTTGGAATGGCAGCAAGCTATGGTCCCTAAACATCTCCATAGGTGATGCTTTAAAAGCCTTTACAGGTTACCAGTTTAGAGTTACATAGTAGGCCTGGCACTAAAATTATTGCTCTCACTCATTTCCCAGTGATAGCTCACATGTGTGGTGAGACCATTCACATTTGTGCATGAGTACAGGGGGACAGAGACTCTTTAAATGTTTCTAATTTTTTTATTTATTTTATTTAAAACAATTTACACTGTCCCTCCCTTCAATTTTTTTTATACAACTTCATTGCTATTACAAGGGATGAACAATATCCCTTGAGATAGCATAGGCCATGAAAGGTTCTTTATATGGAGATATGGTCTGTTAGACCCCAGATCTCTCCTATGCTCTCCAAATCATCTAATCAAACTGAGGTCCTTTTGATCAAATGCTTTGCAAGCTGATAACGGCTTGTAAACAACAAACCAGAACCGTAAGTCGTTGCACCACTGCATCAAGCAGTTGCAGTACCAGTCTCCCTAATCACACAGGAGAGCCTAGTAAAGGTGGTAGGCAGCAGAGAGAGGGGGCCCACTTGTAAAACCTCTAGAGGTGATTTGGCAGCTGTAAAGCTGCTCAGATCACTTCTACAAGAAAGCTTGTCGCAGTTAGAAATTTTGGCACCGGACAGAGTTAACTTTGATGACAAATTTTGATTTAGTTTTAACCATAGTCTTTTGAATAAAATTCCATATTAGTTTTAGTTGTATTTTAGGCATCTGAATTGTTTTAGTTGACTAAAATCTAGAGTACATTTTAGTCAACTAAATTTTCCAATACATTTTAGGACAGGGTTGCATTATGCTTTGGGGATGGGGCAGTAACCTTCAAGTTGAGATGGGGAAGTAAATGGGAGTGAGGGAGTGCACAGGGAAGAGAACTGGATAGTCTTGGGAGGTTGATATTTTACACAGTGCTAAGCATGGCTACCTGGCTGGGAGGGGAAACACTCGCCACGTCACATCGAGACAGACACAAAACCGATGAAAGAGTTTCACTTCTGTGGTCTGCAGGACATTATTCCAGACCTCCTAGGCAGCAGGCAGACAGAGGGAGCCTGCATTTCTCAGCCAATACAGCTTGGCAATAGAGTCGGGGGCTGGGGCCTTAACAGACAGGCAGAGCTCAGAGGAAAGCAGAAATTCAGGTGGGCAAATGTCCATCCCTCACATCTTCATTCTGTTGTCATTCGTTGGTGAAAATTGGAATTGATTTTCTTCATAGTTTTCATCAATTGACTTAATTCAAATTTTATTTTCACTTAGTTTTCATCACTGAAAACATGCAGCTAACAAAAACTATTACGAAAATATTTTCATCAAGAAAGTTGCAGCCATGATCCCACTACAGCCATTTGAACTCGAGGATGTACGGGTATGTCTCAAGGGGTTGAAGTGGTTAGGGGGAACAGTTTGAAGGCAGTGTTGAGTACTCAGGAGTTCTCATCCTTCCAGGGTGAGGGGTTCCAGGATAGTCCAGCTGGAGAGGAGGGGATCGGCTTTAGGCACTCTCTGGATTGTAAAAGGGACCTGAGATTTCTGAGGTTCAAAGAGTTTGGGGAGAGAAAAAACCTGCAAACCCTGATTACATGGACTTTTTTCCTGAAGGGGTTAATCTGGGTGCATTAGATTCCAGAAAAGGAGGAGGAAACCTTTGACACCTATGTGTGAGAGAGAGAGCAGAAAACGTCCTCTTTTGGACCCCTGAAGCAGATGGGAAAATACTAAACCCAAGTGTGGGATCAATATAGTGGTGGTGAGTCGATAATTTATCTTTTGTACCCACAAATGATGGACTATTTTTGCTTGCTGAGGACAAGCTGTTTTTCTGTCTGCCTGTTTTGACAAAATGGACTGTTTGCTTTTACCAACACGCATGGCTGATGATCTTGGACTCCATTTTCAGTATATAAATGCAATTTAACTATATTAGTGCAGTTTTTCTCAATCAATTATCAGCCATGTGTGCCAGTTGCAATGATGGTATTCATAATCTGAATGGAGACTTTGTGGGTTGTAATTTACAGTGCAGCTATCTATCAGCACCGCAAACAGCATGACTCCAAATCTCTCACCTCTCCTCTACTGAAGGTGCAGCTGCAAGAAGACCATCTGTGCTCACAATCCAAGAATGCAAATAGGGATGAACTGCAAACTGGTCCTCACTCTTCAGAGCACTCCACTCTATCCTTGCCAAGGGACCACCCCCTCCTTAATGTGTTTCATCAACAGACTTAACCATAAAGATAAGATCCATACCATTTAACTTACCGTTGGTTAAGCGTGTTAGGAAAGAGCGGTCCCTGAGCAGGGACATGTTGTATGCTTTCATGCTGTTAGTGGTTTAATAAAAGTACTGTGATGAATGGAGACTGTTGTGTGGTTTATCCTTATTTAACCACTTCCAGACCGGACACTTTTACCCCCTTCCTGACCAGGGCAATTTTCAGCTTTTAGCGCTATCACACTTTGAATGACAATTGCGCGGTCATGCAACACTGTACCCAAATTAATTTTTTACCATTTTTTTGAGATAGATAAAGCTTTATTTTGGTGGTATTTATTCACCGCTGGGATTTGTATTTTTTTTGCTATGTAAATGAAATGTCCAAAAATTTTGAAAAAAAGTGTTTTTTTTTATAAAATTTTGCAAATAAATAATATTTCATCATAAATCTTAGCCAAAATTTATTCCGTTATCTTTTTAGTAAAAAAAAAAAAAATCCAAATTAGTTTATAAGCAAAAATTATAATTTTTAAACATTTTTTTTTACATTTTTATTTTCTTTTTTTATATTATTATTTTTTTTTATTTTTATTTTTATTTTTTACATACTGTCACCCTAGCAGTACAGTGTCACCATGGTGACACTGTACTACTTGTGAGGGGTGATGAAGATTTTTTTTTTTTTTTTTTTTTTTACACTGATTGCTTTTACACCCATATAGGATGTAAAAGCAATCATTTCTCTTTCTCTCTGTGTGCATTCATGCACTCATTGAGAAGAACTGAGTGAGCTGTGATTGGTCACATCCTGTCACATGGTACAAGGCTTTTGTGAATAGCCTTGTACCATGTGACCTCTGTGATCATTCACAGATTTCACACATAGTAAGCAATGATGTCACAAGTGACATCTTGCTTACTACTTTGCATGTGATCACTGATTGGCCAATCAGTGATCACATGATCGGGACCTCGTACAGAGGTCCCGTCCGACGATCGGTGTTTCACTGTGTCCGGAGGACACAGCGGGCACCGGATCGCGGTGCTGCGCGCTCCCAGGGAGCGCGCACAAGCAGGGTGCGGGGAGGCCGTTTATTGACAGCCACCCGACCCTGCAGTGCCACCGTCCGGCCGTTTATATACAACGGCCGGTCGGCAAGTGGTTAAAATGTTTATAATGTAAACTGAGCATGTGCAGAATAGCTACAGTTCAGTCTGTCTTATCAGGAGATAATATGTAGACATTTCAACAAGAGGAGGAGCAGAGAAGACAGGATCAAACAGCCTTTTTACACAATACAGAAGATTAACCCCTTCGGTACCACAGTGAGAATAACAAGCATGCTTTACTGCATATACAGACTGATTTTACTATTGTGGGTTTTGTAACACTTTACCATATAGTGTGCTTACTACTTTTCCATATACAGTTGCAAGAAAAAGTATGTGAACCCCTTGGGATTACGTGGAGTTTTGCATGAAATTGGGCATAAAATGTGCTCTGAACGTCATCTAAGTCACAACAATAGAAGAACACAGTCTGCTGAACATAATACTACACAAACATTAGATGTTGCCATGGTTTAATTGCACATAACATGTAAACATTCACAGTGCAGGGAGGAAAAAGTATGTGAGGCCCTAGCTTAATGACTTCTCCCAGAGCTAATTGGACCAAGGAGTGAGCCAACCTTGACTCCAATCAGTGTGATGATATTGGATGTGTTGCTGACAGCTGTCCTGCCCTTAAAAAACACACACCTGTTTTGGGTTTACTGGTTTCAAGAAGCACTGTCTGATGTGAACCATGCCTCGCAGAAAAGAGCTCTCAGAAGACCTACGATCAAGAATTGTTGACTTGCAGGAAGCTGGAAAGGGTTACAAAAGTATCTCCAAAAGCCTTGATGTTCATGTGTCCACGGTAAGACAGACTGTCTACAAATGGAGAAAGTTTAGCACTGTTGCTACTCTCCCTAGGCGTGGTCGTCCTGTAAAAATGACTGCAAGAGCAC